GCAACGATGTGAGTTTACTTACACAATTAATGCCAAGGCGAACGCCATAGGTATAAAGAAGTGTTCCGCGGGGATATCACTCGTTTGGAAGATGTGATGGCTGGAAAGCACACAAGTCAAAATATATCAACTTCCGGCGAAGAGAAGACGGAGGAAGGAGAAAGAGAAAACGACGTACAAGACGGGTACGTAACAGAAGAAAATGCCTATGAGCAGCGCGCAGATCGCAGCGGGTATCACGGCGCGGTTCACGCCCCACGTCGGTGGCTGCTGGAAGATACTCGACCTTCGCGTGCGCGTCGAGAGCAGGTTACTACAAAGTATTTGAGTTCCCCGGGCCAAAAGAAAAAGTGAAAGAAAGATGATGGCGCACCCCCACTGCATCACGACTAGCGTGAAGAAGTACACGCTTTGGGCCTCATAAAGCAGATCGTTCGTCAGGGCCTCGGGATAATTACCGAACTTCAGGGCCAGCGAAGAAAACGGCACGCCATTACGCTGTAAGTACCAAAACGACCTGGACATACAGTACATGCGTATGCACACATTATCAGAATTTAGGCAATTTTTGATAAGAAAAAAGAGTTGAGACGGACTGACATCGACATGGCACAAATTGACTCAATGATTCCGAGAAAGCCATAAGCTTGAAGGAGCAAGCGGCCATTGGCCAGGCGCTCCTTTCGTACGTTACGCGGCGGGCGGGACAGCAGGCCAGTTTCTGGCGGTTCCAAGCACATACTCAGCGCGGGAAGGACATCCGTCTGCAAAGTCCCCAAGTCAGGTTCGTGTCAATCGGGGAGAAAGAGAGTTTCACCACTTACGCCAACACAAATTAAGATCATCTGGATGTTGCTGAGCATCTGCGGGACTCCAATGATCACGTTGAGAATGATAGGCATAAGCTCCGAGAAACTAGACACCCATGACATATTCAAGTTAAAATGCCAGGCGGCATCTGAAAACTGTCTGTTACACACCTGCCAGCGGGAAGAAGATACAAAATTGTCTTCTTCAGGTTATCATACACCAGACGACCTGTCAAAGCGGGTGGTTAGACCGATGATCCTCTGACCCATAAAACACAAGACGTACCATATTCCAGCGCAACAACAATAGCCGAGAAATCCTCAAGGAGGACCATATCCGCCGCCTCACGCGCGACGTCCGACCCACTACCCATCGCGATACCACAATCCGCCGCGCGCAGAGCGGGCGCATCATTAACACCGTCGCCCGTGACGCCGACGACTCCACCACGAGCCTGCAAAGAACGCACGATACGCAGCTTCTGCTCTGGAGTCGTGCGCGCAAAGACGACTTCTTGATACGTGCATAGGACGTTCTCCTGCTCTTCTGTGAGCGTCTCGAGCTCTGCACCTGTGATGACGATGCTCTGTGGTGGAGCGTTTTGGCTCAGCTCGCCCGTCGCCATTATCTCTTCCTTCTCCTTCTCGTCGGTCGTCCGATCCAGCAGATCCGAAGCGTGGTGTACCGTTGCAACATTAGAAATGATGCCCGCCTGCGCGGCGATAGCGACGGCCGTGCCAGGATGGTCCCCAGTCACAACGAAGAAGCGAATCCCTGCACCACGACATATACTACGATATCCGGCAGTGTCAGAGCGGCGTGGACGCGGAGGAAGAAACTCTCAATCTTTACGCACCGAACAGTGTCAGGAATATCTGGTTTCAGTGGATCGATCAGGCCGACGAGACCAACAATGATGAGTTCCGAGTTGAGGCTGTCGATAAGATCTTCAAAGCCTTCCGCATGAGGGTCCATATGCTTGGGGAGAAGATCACGTTCTATCACGCGCCGTGCCAGTACCAGCACGCGGCGACCCTGGGCGGCCCACTGCTCCTGGATGGAGACGATACGCTGGCGGGCAGCGTAGGTGAGATTGAGAGGTCGGTCGCCTCCAGGCGCGAGAACATGCGTGCAGCGCGACAGTAGAACGTCCGGGGCACCCTTGACACAAAGTAGAATATCACTCGGGCCGAAAGAATCCCACGACGCAAGTGGCGCAGGAAGTGGTTCGGACTCGTCTATTGGTGGAACCGCTTCCGACATCGTGAGCATAAACTTCGTCTAGGGACAGTCGATCATTAGTATTCGAGGGCATCGCTCAGGTTTGGGCGGCTCACTTTAGAGTTGAAGGGGATCTTGTGAACATGACGCCACCTTGCACGAATGGTATCACTGGAAATAAGGTTATCCGCGAACCCGAGGATTGCCGAATCTAGTCAATAAAAGATGCCGTGAGAACACAAAGTGCTTCATCGTTGATCAGGCACCAGTTGCCTTACCAGTTGCATCGCCAATAATGTTCCGTTTCGAATCTGATGGAGAACCCTCAAAAGTAGCGGCATTGCAGATAGCGGAAATTGCAGGAAGCTGGCGAAGGTTCTCAACTACTAGAGGTTGTGCCGATTCCAGCTGCTCGCGGAGAGTTGGCACGGTGAATGTGGTATCATAGATGGCGGCGTCCTCGACGTGCATCTTATTCTGCGTCAACGTGCCGGTCTTATCCTGTGCCAAAATTAGCGCTGGAAACCGAAGGAAGCAACGGGACATACCGAGCACAAAACATTCACAGAGCCTAGAGTCTCGACAATAGAAAGCGACCTAACCGGATCGGAATCTCAGTGAACATTTTGATATATGGGTTCTAGACGAGGGCACTCACTTGCATAAGACCTTGTGTTTGCTCAGGGTATGCGCGACTTTAGCCAAGGACAACGTCACCGCAATTGGCAGCCCTTCGGGGATGAAAGCAACTGACAATAATAAATAAATAAATGAACCAGGGCGATCAAGAGACAAATTACCCATGACTGAGACAACATCGATAAGAAGCCCCGGGGTGTTGATGTAGTTCGGATAACTACGCCTCAACCTGCATCAAGGAAAATATCCTGAACATCGTCTCAGTCCATCACGGTAGAGGGCCACTCACCATGCGGCCCATAGGATGACGATGATGATGGCCACGAGAGTCGCAAGACTGGCGATGATCACGACAAATCGGAAGATTTCGCGCTGCAGCGTCGTCATCGATGACGACTCAGTTGAAGAAAGCTTCGCGATACGCCCACTGGGGTGTCATGGGTACGGAGTGAGACATTGATGCTCGGATCAGATGGGAATCGGCACATACAAGACGGTGTTGTCACCGATTTGGAAGACGAGGCCGAGGCCGGATCCATTGACGCAAAGTGTCCCTTGAAGGCAATGTTCTTTGTCTAAGGAACAACATCAGAAAGAAGGAACACATGTAAGAGGAGGAAAGTCTAGACGGAACACTACGTACCTCAAGGATGTTATCATTCGTCTTTTCTAAGCGACCTGCGATCGGTTCGCTCTAAGTACATAGGAGCGACTATCGTCAGGGGAGAAAAGAAAAAAACGAGGGTGCGCGCGTGTCATGACATACCTCCCCTGTGAGCACGCTCCTATCGAATCTCAGGTCACCAGAAACGTCAATAAGTTTGACGTCCGCGGGCACCTTCTGGCCCATAACCAAGTGGACAATGTCTCCGGGGACTAGCGAAGCAGCGGGAAGGCTTGACTGCACACCATCTCGGAGGACAACTACGTCAGCGGGAAGCATACCCTTGATGGAAGCCATAACACGTGATGTCGAAAAGTCCTGCCACGCGTTGAAGGCTGCTTGAAGGACAACGACGACAAGAAGAACGACAGCGAGGGCAAGATTAGATGCCTGTGGGTTCGGGTTCCCCAACGGCTTCCTGCAGGTTCAGAGTCACAAGTTAGAAATGAGCCGTTCGAAAGAACGGTGTGAGGAAGAGTATGTCGTACCAGGCGAGGAAACAGACAACGCTGGCACCGAGCAGCAGGCTGCCAAACCCGCCGAAAACCCAACCGATGACCTTGCGCAGTACACGTTTTGGAGGTGGCGAGATCTGGTTAGCACCGTATTGTGCAGTGCGGCGCTGTGCCTGCGCAGCATCGAGGCCCGTCTTCGGCGCGACCGCCAACCGGCGGAGCGCCTCATCGATGGACACACGGTGCCAATCGAGCTCTGACAGGTCTAGAGTAACAGGGAGAATGGGAAGAAAGTGAGCGCTTTTGTCAGATCGGCGGCTGGGACTGGACCGACCTTTGGCTGCATTTTTGGACGCCTTGCCATTGGTGTTTTGGTCCGAGTTTTTGCTGTGTTCCAAATGCAGGCTCAGCGTGCGGTACTCGATGGGGAGACGCGCTGAGGGTGGGACGGTCGGCGCACGTATTGAGAGGGTTCTGCGAGTCATGAGGATAACGCCATCACGGTCGCGGTGCCTCCTGCTCTCAGTTGGGACGATGGTGATCCGCTGGTTCTCGACGTCGTTTGACATGGTGATGAGTGGGGAACAAGAAAAAGCCTATGGCGATCCTCCTTTGAAGAAAAAGAATGGTGAAACCGGCCGGGGTGTTTCCTGTATTATTTAAGGAGAAAATGTGAGGGGCTTGGGGTCTCAGCCAAGGCCCTGAGGCCCCGGTGAGAAGGTAAGGCCATTGGTTAGAGCGGAGCGAGAGAAATTTGCTTCGTAGAATTTTTGTGTTGAAACGGAGTGGATCAATTTAGAACGGGTCAGAGTTGTCTTTTGAGGGATATTCGCCTATTTTGCCAAAATCAAGCGCGCCATGGTCAGCTGGTTGCCATCACCGGAAATATCGTGGCGAACAGAGCCGGTGAGCCGGTGAAGCCCGGCAACCAACGTGGCCATGGCAGCGTGCAGCACGGCTCGGATCCATTCCATTGTGTGACTGTGCAGTGTATGGACGTCATAGCTGTGTCCGGGGTAATGTTTAACGATGTATATCACACAATTACAGCCGTTTGCAGAAAACTTGAACAAGCACATTTTTCTTCATTGTTTGTCCATATTTTGCACTACCAAATATGGCATACGAGTAAGGTGGCATACGACCACATCACATGATGTGACGGTCATGCGGCATAAACGGGCCGCAACCTTCAGCTATAGAAACAGAAATGGCAAGACCGGGATTTGAACCCAGGTCCCCCCACTGCCTCAAAACATATGCCAATTGCTCTAACCACTGAGCTACCCAACCCTTGTTCCAACTCGCTTCAAGTGCAACTATATATTCTAATGCATCACACAATTGAATATTCGTGTATCATCTCAGATGCAACTATCATGTCTGGTTCTAGTGTATGAGACGCACCAGTGCTGATGCCTTTCATGTGTTATGATAGGTGGACAAGTATAATACTTTTATCAACGGACAAGTGTTCTTCGGCTGATAGGTCACTGGATTGGCATAGACTCTGTATGGAGATGTTGTTGTGGCGCCACGGCTGGGCCTGTCCAGTGTGCCGGTAGCTGTTGCACCGGCGAGCCACACCCCTGCTTCCCAATTCATTCGCTCACCCACGCACCACAGAGCCTACCATGAGGTGAGTGGGATTAAGAACCTCTCCTGGTCGGATGCGCCCTCGAAAAAGCCAGAGCTCGATGGGGTAGACATTACATTGGCAACACCGGTCACCAAAACATTCTCTGAGGAACATCACATGGACACGTAATAAGCAAATTCCTTATCTTTCACTCATTACACCCCACATCGGATGCCCTGGCCCCTGGGTACTTTGTGCATATTACGAGACGTGGCAGGGCTCTGGAATGCCAAAGTGGAATACCAAAGTACGTAAACATATATCATGATTCTGATAGATAGGAAAGCGACATGACAGGCATGGAAGAGAAGCTGTGGAAGAGAAGCGAGGGATCACCTGTATCTCAACGATCTCAACCACCATTACCACCCTAATTCCATTCGCGGGAAACCATTCAATCTACAATTAATCTTCGGACAACACGAGAAAGCTAGGGTAGATGTCTGAGTCGGTCTGATAATCTGAATTCTGGAATTCACCTTACTCACCGATTGATTTACCACAAGCATTGCACCTCTACCCTTTCCTCTACCCTAATTAGACTCCGAATCTGTGACAAGGACCCTGTATAAAAGACATTATCGGGTTATCGAGTCATCGCCTCAATTCCGACCGCCCTAGGCCACTGGTACTGTACCCTCCAAATACTGTCCAAATAAATGACACGTCATCGCGTGTCTTGCCACGTGCATCCACACGTGACCGCGTGACGCTGTGGCTCTAACCTCCAAGCACATCGGCACTCACCTTTCTCGATCTCGCATCAATATGTGCACTTGCGTGCATTAGAGACTCACTCACAAACATTCTATCGTCGGCATGGCTGTACGGGCCGAGTTATGACTCTTTGTTAATCTCGCGCTATATAAGTGCGGACTTCGAAAAACAAGCGCTCCTCCTTTTTCGCTAGGTTTTCTATGACTCTGGAAGGATTCGTCTTCATTACCGAACAACCGGACACACGAAGAGGTCTGGATCGCGATAGGCTATCTGGATGTCACCACCACCGTTGTTGCCAAGGTGAAGTGAAGGAGTCAATGAGTGAAAGGCGCCAAAATCGCCGTTTAGGGGCTTTGTCTGCAAACTGGTTAAACTCCCGGCAGTGCGTAATCCCCTGACCCAGACTGCTCTCCATTCAAAATTGTCTACAGAAAGAATCTGGAACAGTCATAGCGCTTGTTCCTCGTCTGAACGTTGCGGCGGCTCATCGAAGGAAGTAATATTCCTTATAGATGCTGCATCTCTAATGAGGGGAAGTCTACTAGAACTTTCCTGTTGTTGTTTCACGTATCGTTACACTCCACGATGCCATACAATAATTTGCGATGACCTGATTGCGAACCGGAGGATGGTTTTTCCTGAACCCGATTTCTGGTCCGGGGAAAAGCATCCTCCGGGTCGTCCTCCGTCCATCTGCTCTTTCCTCCTGTGAGGCATTCACCATTAGCAGGCTCCTCTACGATTTTTCACGGTGGTGGAAAAGCCATTGTCCATCTCGTGCTTTTATTATTCTGAGTGTGGAAATTCCTATACTGTATTTAAGAAGGCTGGAACCTTATCCAGAATCCTTGACAGTTATGCCGGACTACACCGCCTCTGCACAAATAGAATGAGCGCAAATCTGTTCTATTCTTATACATCCAGTGAGACAGTCAATCCCCACCCATCAATCGAACCGACCAGACTGGCGAATATGGGATGCAGGACTGTAGGGTAGCAGTTGTATTCGGGGCAGGTTTGGGTGTCGTCGTGTTATGGGTTGGCCTGAGCGTTCAGTCAAGAAATAGATGATTCTCGCGATTTCTCGGGCAACCCGGGCAGGGGAAAGATAAGCCGTGGGAAAGCGGAGAATAGGGACCGCGCGGATTTCCCACATTCCCCTCGTTTTCTCTTTCGCCTCGCTCCCCCACTGAGTCCTATATCTTCGAATTGTTACACACTGACCAGTGAACTTATCCCAGTTGACATCAACCCTTCGTGAAGTATGCTCATCAATTTTGGTCAACATCGTGCATTGATCATATTAACCCTCTCCCATCGCATCCATCATCCCACCCTAACATTCCATTCCTTTCAGCAATCCCGGGATCCGACGAAGAAGGAATTGGACTTTGAAAATCTTGTGCTCCGCACAATCTGTCCCAAGAGGAGAGATTCCGTCGTGTACGCCGTTGTCCGAGTCCCAGTTACTTCGTCGGATCCGCTTGGAAACTTCCCCACTCGTGTCGTGACATGAGTGGTCAATCGTCTCGGTTTTGAATGCTTTTTGTGGCTGTCTGCTTTTCATAGTCCTGAAAGGATATTACAGGAGTACGAGAAGCAGACAGGCATAATGTTAGCCATACATACATTCATTCGTCGGGCAAGTCATGTATTACTTCGGTCCAATCTCTCACCGCCGTTTTCATCAACGAGCAGGGCCCACTTGCTGCGTCCGCTGGCCTTTGCGCCAGTTTATCGGCCTGATATGTCAGGAGGCGCTGATCGGGTGTTCCATGTCTCTTGATCCTTATTCTATAGCTTTTTCCCCCAAATACAATTCGTACGTGCCTTCCTCAGATTCCTACTCGCGAATCCTTGTGACATACAGTTATATTAGGTGGTCAAGGACGTTGGTCGCAGTTACGATGGGCCCGTCAAATTGTTTGAGCTCAACTCGAACAAAAAGCAACGGGACAATTCAGAAAGTGTTCGATCGACTCGATCTTACGAGTCGATCGAACGTTTTCTGAATTGTCTCGAGATCTATATTGGGTTCCTCGTTCGTACAACGCACTCCTTATTTACGTCCAGACCCGCAATGTTAACCCTTATTCTTCCTCCAGCACATTGTCTCTATACAGTACCCCAATTAAGTAATGCACGTTTTCCCAGCCACTGTGGCTGACAAAAGGTGCATTACTTAATTGGGGTACTGTAGATGTTGCCATCAACGTGACGTAGCCGTACAAGGAGACAAACCACCTTCTTTCCACCGGTGTAAGCGTTTATGCAGGCCGCACTTCAGTCTTGGTCATGCATGTTGTGATAAGTGGCTCATCATGTATCCGATTTCTCTATCAGATATCTCAGGACAGATTGCAAGCGCCTATAACGCCTCGGGATCCAACACAACTTACATCCGGTGCGAGTTTAAGTACTAACTCTCCAGCACAGGTGCAGTCAATAAAAAGCGTCCGTGATCACCATCAGGGTGTTCGTCCAGTGGGACGTGGTGGACCCCGCTCTCAGTTTCTCCTCGGATTGATGCTATGGCGAGCAATGGGTTTCAACGGACGGACTCATTTCGAGTTTCGACATCCCTCGATGAGACTCCCTCTTCCGGGTCTTCCCTCCCTTTCGACTTTTTATGATCCTTTTTTCCAACGATTTACTTTTACGTCACATACAGTATATCGAACAATGTTCTGTATCCGCCGTCGCTTTTCGGGCACGTGCCGGGAGTTGGCTCGAACACGTTGACCACCCGAGCGACTCGCTCTCTTTCCTTTCTGTGTTTTGACAGGATCGTTGTTTCCCTTTTCAACCTCACTTGCACCCTTTTTTCACTTAGCTGTGTGATATCGATCCCGCCCGCTACCGTGTCGAGTTGCGGGAAGCCAGTGGCTACAATATACGGTCATGGTATGGTAGTGTTCAGGGAGACTCCTCAAGATCTGAGGTAAGTTTACGAGGAATACTAAGAAGAAACCAAATGTTACCCACCAGTGCGGCCTAGCCCCGTCGATCAAGCTGTTTTACTCGCGGAATGCAGTAGAATTTTGAAGGGATAAAATTAGACTGGAATAAGCGCTCAGCGCTCAGCGTTCGGTTGCAGTGAAACTGGGCGTGGGGGCCGTGGGCAGGCGCTTAGTTTAGTCGTTAGCGATCTAGACCCACGAACATGGCAGTCACTGTCCTTGGGATGGGGCAATCCACTGACAGCGCTTCCCATGTCAGGGTTACACGGCACGAGGACAGCCAACCTCTCTCTCCGACCACATCCAACACTTGCTCGCCGACATGGGTCTCTGCTTATCAACCACCTCTCGCCTTCGATCCTCTGAAAGAATTGGCCAAGGTAGAATATGTGGCATGTTCCAACGGCAGCGGTACGTTTCCTCCTTTAATGCTAATCAGTTTATGATTAATTGGCAATATATAGACCTCATATCGTATCGATCCATATCCTCGATGACGATTCCCTCCTCAACATATTTTACCTCTATCGGCCATTTATTTTAGGCGAAGATGAGGATGACTATTACCGTCTCGTAGGGGGGAGAGAGCTATGGGACTGGGGACGCTGGTGGTATCGACTCGCACATGTCTGCCAAAGATGGCGAAACCTTATACTCGGTTCGGCATCCTACCTGCGTCTTTCATTTGTCTGCACAAATGGCACGCCCGTTGAGAACATGCTCGCACATTCACCTCACCTTCCGTTCACCGTTGATTACTATAGTGAAGATGGCATTACTGCAGAAGATGAAGAGGGGATATTGCTTGCTCTCGAGCAGCGTCATCGCGTCCGCCACCTCCGCCTTCTTGTCCCTAATCAAGTTCAACAGAAGCTTGTCATGGCGATCGAGGAGGAATTCCCAATCCCGGAATACCTGATTGTGAATCCTTTGAAGAAGGAAGACACGCCCTTGACGCTCCCAGAAACACTTCA